TGGGAGTTGGCTTTAAGGTATTGCGTAACAGTAACATTTGGACCCAGGCAAAAATAGCTCCTGTAGAGGTCGCTGTAAAGGTCAGAATGATATATTTCAGATGAATGTGTGAAATGATAATTAATTTGACTAAAGAAGAACTGAATCACAGAGTCGTTAATGGGTTCTACTGAAGGAAACGGGACCGACGTGTTCAAACACCTTATCTTCAGGTCCCGGCTCCGGAACATTCTGATGTGGAGCTCCTTAAATCAGACCTCGTGTCATGATAATGTTTTAAAAAAAAAAAGGAAAATCACCTCACGGTTAAATTTGATTTGAGTCGGGTCAGATTGATGTCTCTGAACATCGTCCTCGTGTTCTGGGGTGACCTTTGAGGAGTTGACCTTTAGGTCCACTGAGTCAGAAGACGGAGACGCAGTCAGGTCTGAAAGGTTTCTAAATCTGAGGTTTCTGCTGATTTTCAGTTTCTGGAAAGAGTAAAGAGAAAAATACTGTCCTGGAGAGGGCGCTCCCTCCCCTGGACAAAGAGGAGGAAATAAAGTGTCCTGTTTTATTTACAAGAGAAATGAACGGTGGCATGAGTGGGTGTCACCGAGGCTGAGCTTCTCCCTGACCCTGAGCCGTTTGTTGGAACTGCAGACACTTGACTCTGACATTTTCAGAGAAGGACTTCACAGCTGTGTTTTTGTTGCTGCCTTTTCTATTGTGCCTCTGCAGCCGTTACTGCAGCGCAGGAGATGAACCCAGGTGCCCTTCAAGACACCAGCTCAAATGACACAAGTGACGGTCTGAGCTTTATGGTCAACAGAGGGTCAGGCCGAGGTCTAGGGTTTCAACACACTGTCAGAGGAGAGAGGCTGAAGTTTAAATGTCACGGCCGGGTATGAGACTGGAAGATGATTGGACCTTTGGCATCTAGGAAAACTTGTTCACACGAAACAAAATCTGTTGAAATCATTTTTTTTTTTTTTGGTGTTGATGTCGCTGCAATCTCGTCGACGTAACTGTATCATCTAGACAGAATCAGGGCTCCACCTGGTACCAGAAGGTCATGCATTCAGGTGCTGCTGGGTTTGAACCAAATTCGGAGGAGCTTCCGTTAAGACTTAAGACCGTTTTTTTTTTTCCTAAAGGGCAAGAAAATGAGTGCAGTGGCAGGTTTGTCAGAAGTGTAGTTAAGAACAGAGTCAAGGTGAGAGGCCTGGAGGGTAATGGAAACAGTGAGGACACTGTGAGCAGACCTCAGCGCCCCCTGGGTGCCAAACTGTTCCGCCGTTAAATATTAATGCCAGTGATTGACCTTTTCTTGTTAGAGCACCTGGAGCTCCATCATGTATTCTGTCACAAATATACAGCGTGTCACAGTTGTACCTGTTAGCATTCACTCTGACGATGTGGTACTGGTACTGTTTTATGGCAGTGTTTGCGTCTGATCGCCCTCAGTAAAGTCAGGACTTACTTTGGGGTCTTTCTCGTAGTAGTGCTGCTGGGTCCTGATCCACCGGCCAATCAGGTGGTCCCGCACCGTGTGGGCCAGGGCGAAGTAGTAATCCCTCCTGGTGGCCACGTTCCTGTCCTTGACCAGGGTGAAGTGGAGGTGCCGGTTGAAGTTCTGCTTCAGGTCCGACACGTTCTCAACGCCGGCGAGACCTCGCACCGAGATCTGTTTCCTCTTGTCGTGGTCGGACAGGGGTCGAGACATGGTGGCTGGAGATGACGGAGCTCAGGGCTCTGACCAGGGTGGACCAGTGTAAACAGTGGGTGAACAGGCAGCAGCGGGGGGACACACACCAGCAGGACCAGACACACACTGAGAGGGGGCGCCGCCGCACACACACGGGGGCAGTTATTTATAGACTCCACTCTGAATATGTAGCAGAGGGTGGGGGGGGGGGGGGGGGGGGTGTTAGGAGAAGGGTGGAACAGTGTGTTGAGGCCGAGGTAATTTTTCACCATGGTAACAGAAAATGTGGCGTGGTGTTTGTTTCTTCTGTCTCAGTTTGTACTGTTTGCATAAATAAGCACCTGTTGGGGAAAATTGAACTTAATTTATATTGTCTGTCGTGTTCTTCACTCTCAGTGTTTGGAAAAAGATGGATTAATATTTAATGAATTTATGTGATGCATTGTTGATGCAGTATAAATGACATTATCAGACACAAAACACAAATAATGATTTATGCAAAATCAGAAGTTCACCCTCACCTGCTGAGAGACTAATGTAGAACTGTAGCTAACGTTAGCTCTGGGGTCTGTACCAGGACTGTTGTAGCTAACGTTAGCTCTGGTGTCTGTCCCAGGACTGTTGTAGCTAACGTTAGCTCTGGGGTCTGTACCAGGACTGTTGTAGCTAACGTTAGCTCTGGGGTTTGTACCAGTACTGTTGTAGCTAACGTTAGCTCTGGTTTCTGTACCAGGACTGTTGTAGCTAATGTTAGCTCTGGTGTCTGTACCAGTACTGTTGTAGCTAACGTTAGCTCTGGGGTCTGTACCAGGACTGTTGTAGCTAACGTTAGCTCTGGGGTTTGTACCAGTACTGTTGTAGCTAACGTTAGCTCTGGTGTTTGTACCAGTACTGTTGTAGCTAACGTTAGCTCTGGGGTTTGTACCAGTACTGTTGTAGCTAACGTTAGCTCTGGGGTTTGTACCAGTACTGTTGTAGCTAACGTTAGCTCTGGTGTTTGTACCAGGACTGTTGTAGCTAACGTTAGCTCTGGGGTCTGTACCAGGACTGTTGTAGCTAACGTTAGCTCTGGTCTAATATTGAATAATAATGCATTTAGTATTAATTATATTTAATCAACTACAAGTACATAATAAAAATCTTGAGAATCTGTTTTAACTGTCAGTCTAATCCTGGAGAATATTTAATGAAAATAAAGGCTTGTGATTGACAGGTACTGCAGTAGTGGCACACGTTGGTCTGGCTCTGGAATTCAACAAATTGACACATTAAATCCCCCGTCCTGAATAATGTACAAACCCAGAGGAGCCATCTGTCTGAACTGGGACTCAGACCTGTGACCTTGCTTTGAGGCAGCAGCCACCACTGCTCCACCCTGCGGCCCTGTTTCAGCAGCAGCAGCAGCAGCAGAACCTCTGAAACAACAGTAATGCAGTGTTTCACATTTTCACGCTGCTGCTGCTGCTGCTGCTGCTGCTGCTCCTCCACCAGCAGCAGCAGCTCTGTGTGAGTAAGCAGCTCGTCCTGAGTTTGTGTGCAGATCACATCTGTTCCAAGCCTGTAGCAGGAGGAGACACAAAAACCTCAGCTGCAGCGTTGCTGCTTAAACACGCTCTATTTTCAGGCCTCACTCAGTCGCAGCCAAACTATCATGAAACCTTGACCTTCTATAAATAGTAGCTCTGACCCAGTCCCAAAGGCCGTGATATTTGAAAGGCATAACTTCTTAATGTCAGCAGGAGCCGGCAGACAACACTTGTATATGATTACAAAGATTCAAAGAAACACACACACACACTCACACAGAGTCGGTGTTTGCTGAGTCTCCTCCACTGAGCAGCGGCGCTAATGTGAGTGAATTTCGTCTTGTCAAAAGACTGGAGATGTGTCTCTCGTCTCAAATTGGTTAAAAGCCGGACTGAAAGACTTAAGTGTCACCTCAGTTTCTGGCTGTAGTGGATTTTCCCAGTGGTTTCGATGAATGTTGACAAGGAAATTATGGGGTGTCTGATGCAAAAGAAACAAAAAAAGATGCAATTTCTTCATTTCTCTGCGGCGCAAAAGCAGCTCCGTCGACGCGGGGAAGCGTCAGCCTCCCGATGAGGGAGAACCAAAGTGACGGCTCTCTGAACGCCACGCCGTGATACGGACGTCATGGTGGCTGTTGGGTCGACTCAGCACCAGAGTGACTGATGGAATGGATGAATGGGCCTGATGGTGGTGGTGGTGGTGGTGCAGCAGTGATGGGTGGATGATGAAACTGTTACTCAGAAGACTGTCAGCCAGTGAGACCAACAACCTGGTTATGACTGACTGTGATGAACCATCACTTTGTTCTGTAGGACATGGAGACTTTTAATTAAAGACGCGTCGGCAGCTCCGTGTCTGTTGACATGGACTGGGTCAGGACTGGGTCAGGACTGGGTCAGGACTGGTTCTACTTTGGTTAAAGTGTAGTGTGTGTTATTAGCACGTTTTATAATGTGTGTTATTAGCACGTTAGCTTTAGACACGTGAGAATGGTTGTTTGTGAATCTGTGATGGACTGAAGGAGGACTGGTCAGGATGTTGTCCAACCTCTGGCTCCAGGTCCAG